GGGCAAGTGTTCCAATGTCTTTGATATGGACATGTCTCTAATTGCGTCTCTCATCGAGTGCTTGGTACGTGCCTGAGAAACATGAATGCTAAGTGAGTGATGGACCGCATGATCTGAGATTGCCCACATTAATTCAAAAGAATGAAAAAAAGCAAAAAAAAAAAAGAAGAAAAAATGAAAATAAACTTGCAAAATTCAAAACAAAAAAATATATGAAAAATAAAACTTGCAAAGTCTAATACACAATTGCATATCTTGGGGGCTTCATTCGGGTCTTGATCCTTGTACCCTTTTCTTCTTTGAACCGCCAACTTAACCATATTACAAACCTTAAAAAATCTCTTTGGGGTGTACATACACTTGTGCAAAGTTCGGTTAGAGCTACGTTCGGCCTGATTCCTAACGGATACGTAGGCAACCTCACATTGAGGTGCAGCCACATTCATATGCATGATCGAGTCAAAGAATATCCAATGCTTAATCCTATGACCCTATCCGTCTAGAGCTAGACTTGGGGGCTTGAACCTACATCGTTTAGCCTACCTATCCTAAAGAAACACCATCTCGACTCTTCTCACATCTATTTCCCTCACCATATCCATTGCAACCTCACCTAGTATCACTTTCACACACGTCTTTCATACATACATAGCCATATCAACTTTCCCTTAGGAACCTTTTATCATGAAATTTTGTTTCCCTACCGTGCATGCTTCATAATTTGCAAGACAACATTCATTAGAAGAAACGTTATATACTTGCTTAGCTTCCTGACCTGAGCAATGTTCATTGTTTCATGCATCGCATAATGTGCTGAGTAACATTTCTATATCAATCATTTGTAATCATACAAAGCATATCGTTCTTAGCTCCTTGACCTAAGCAACGTTCATTATGCAATAATCACTTCATTTATATACATGCTTAGCTTCAAGACCTAAGTGACGTTCAAGATCGTTTCTTTACACCATATATGATGCTTAGCTCCATGACCTAAGTTCATTCACCTATCGTGTCACATGACGTAATTTCCCTTAGCCTCTTAGCCTAAGAACATGCATAATGCATACATTATACTCAAGACTAGCATTTCAATATGACAAGAAGAAAATCCATGTCATTCATTTCGTCTTGCTCAACAAGGAAGTTCTAAACTTCTTCCCTTTTTTATCATGACTTTTCTTTTAGGGAAGTTTAAAAATAAAACTTCATTTTTCACGTCTTTCTTTCCGATAGAAAGTCGGTACCCTCCACTCATGACAAAATGACGGAAAATTTTTGCTTTTGCATTTTTAATTGCTTGTGTCAGTGCACACACTCACTCAAGACACACACAATCACAAGTCATACACATGTCATGTCATGTGAAGTCAAACTTGGTCAAGTCAATCACAATAAATACGAGTCCATTGGCAAATTTATTTTTACAGGTCTCATCTACAGCCCACGTTCGGGGACAAGTGAACCATCTACAACCCACGTCCGGGGACAAGCGGACCATCCACAGCCCACGTCCTGGGACAAGCGGACCATCTACAGCCCACGTCCAGGGACAAGCGGACCATCTACAGCCAACGTCCGGGGACAAGCGGACCATCTACAACCCACGTCCGGGGATAAAAGGACCATCTACAGCCCACGTCCGGGGACAAGCGGACCATCTACAGCCCACGTTCGGGGACAAGCGAACCTTTTATAGCCTACGTCTGGGGACAAGCGAACCAACTACAGCCCACGTCCGGGGACAAGCGGACCATCTACAGCCAACGTTCGGGGATAATCGAACCATCATCTTTTCATGACGCAAGGTTCTCGATACACAGAGACTTGCAATCTAATCATCTGTCGACTTTCCTCAAGCATGGAAAGTATTATCCGGTGGATTTCTTCAAGCATAGAAAACCGCCAAATTCCTTTGTCGGCTTTCATCAAGCATGGAAAGCATTATCAGTGGATTTCTTTAAGCATAGAAAAACGCCAAAATTATATGTCGACTTTCCTCAAGCATGGAAAGTGTCATCTGGTAGGTTTCTTCAGGCTTAGAAAGCTACCAAACTCATCTGTCGGCTTTCCTCAAGCATGGAACGACTTTCCTCAAGCATGAAAAGCATTTCCGGTGGATTCCTTGAAGCATAGGAAAATACCAAACTCATTTGTCACCGATACACTGGTGTCAGATAAGCGTTCTATCCCTTTACTCTTTTATCTGTGGAATTAACATTTTTTGCAGGTATCGGCGTATATAGAGTTATTTAGGATCGCAGAACGTCTTAAATCATTCTCCATCCCTATCGACAACTTTGACTATCGTTTTTGAAACTGACGTTTCTACAAACCCAGTCAATGTGGGGCTTCTGTAGACACCTAAAAATGTCTCGCCAAAACAAAATGAACAACCTTTTACCGCCATTATTGGTCGGGTTGAGTATTTAATCTTTGGAGTGCTTAAATCCATATTTTCATTTCATAAACTAACCCAATTCCCAGCCCATTTCCCCAAAACTTCACTTATTTTCCTCTTTTCGTGCCTTTAAACCCAAAATAATTCATTTCGTATCCTTTAAAATCATTCATTTCGTGTCCTTTTTATAAAATGTTTAATCCATTTTATTTTGGTCCATAATCTGGGTCCAATAATTTAATAGTTGGATGGGGCTTTAAAATATCTTTCCAACGATATATTGTAAGCCCAAATCCGATTTATAACGAATAAGTTATGGCCAAAATATTGAACTGAGCCCAAACTGAACATAAGCCCACCTTACCTACGACCCAATGATCATGTGGAGGGTCCAAATTATTTAATCCCATTCCTAAACCAATTAGGATTAATTGGAAGCTTCTATAAGTTTCTAAAAGATCTTAATTATCTGTTTTGAAAAGATAAGATTAAAGAGTTTGAAATTGAATAAAACTTTTCTTTTTGAAAATCTTATTTCTATCCGAATTGAAAGATGTTCAAAGATAGACAGATATTATTTTTGTGCCTCATTGTTTTTATCCAAATTTATATGGTTGGATAGCTCTTGAAATTATCTTTCCAATGATATATTATAATATCAATTCCGAGCTATAACGGAAAAGATATGAATAAAATGTCAAACTCTATCCAAAACTGACACCCGTCTCACTATTTCGGCCATATCTTCTATTCTATAGAGTATTTTAATCTTACTCCAATTGAGTTAGAAAGAAAATTTCAAGATCTTTCAATGATATCTTATTTATCTTATTCCGATTTCTGGGTCAAAAGATATGATAAAAACAAAAAACGCAAAAAACTGTTGTCTATCGCAAGAGTTTTATCCGATTCGAATTCTTATCTTTTCTTGATTCTTCGACCTTCTTTTTTCTCTATAAATAGAGGTCATATCTCCCCTTTTCCAATCATCAACAAGCTTGATGATCAAATCCTTCTCTCTTTCTCTCTTTGACACCAAAAATCATTCTTCTTCTCTCTCTCTCATATTCTAAGCCTTAAACCTATATTCCTAATTACACCAATCTTCCCTTAAGCACTCCAAGGAGTCCATACAATACCCGAAGTGATATACTTAAACCAAGGTGTGAAAGGTATAATTAACTGAGGGTTTGGACCAAATTAACTCTACTTTTATTTTGTTTAATTGTTTCAATTTGATTTATATTTTTATTGAAGTTACTAACAGTTTATTTATGATGTAGCAATTTAAAGGAACGCGCGGAATGTGAGTAATTAATTAATTAAATTACTCTTATTTTATTTTAATATTTCTAGTATCATGATTAGGTTAATTTTATATTTGATTTGACTAAATATTATTGTTAAATTGCTTCCAATATTAATGTTAATTCTATTATTGTTATTATCATCACCATATTGCATGTTTAAAGGGAATATGTAATTGAAAATCACGCCTAATAAGATAATTTGGACAACCGGTTTAGGTTCCTTTTTAATCTTATTGTTTAATCAAGTGATCACTAATATTTTAGAATTATGTGTTGCATTAATATTTAACCAATTTATCTTTATAATAGTTTGGAGCAAATTGAATATTTTTTTTGTATGCCTTTGAGATCGTAGGAATCACTTTTCACTATAAGAATCGAGTAGAGGCCAATACGGGCGAATGTGACTCCATGACTCACTTCGTACCATCATCCCTGATCCTCCTTTCGTGGTTCCGAACCATATGAAGTTAGTAATTTCATGGATTATGAATGGGGTGTAACCTTCACAGGTCAATCGTTGTTGCTTATCGTTGTCCCTTTATCGTGGTTGCCTTTAATGATCCGTGAATGGTTTACAAGTTCCTTAAAAACTTGTTGTCGGCTCCCTACTTTCCTTGTCCCTAATCGTATATGTCAATTCCCACTTCCTATGAGTGCCAAGCATATTCACCACATTCTTTTACATAGGCGCACATCGAGCAACGCCTACTACACCCCAAATCTTGGAAAGATTATTTTCTTACAAAACTTCATAACAACCTTGTGGTCATTAGTTGGGGAGGCAATGGACTCGACCCACTTAGACACGTAGTCAACCGCCACAAGGATAAATTGATTTCCGAAAGATGAAGGAAATGGCTCCATGAAGTCAATACCCCATACATCAAATACCTCCAACTCTAATATGGGTTATTGATGCATTTTGTTTCTCTTGGAGATGTTCCCAACTCTTTGACATTGATCACATGTCTTTACAAAGCCCCGTGAGTCCCTAAATAGATGTGGCCAACACAAACCGCATTTAAGAACCTTAGTGGCGGTCTTAGAAACACCCATGTGGCCTCCGCGTGGATCCGAATGCCACATTTTCAAAACACTAGGCACCTCTTCATTTGGCACACATCGTCTAAGTAAGCCATCGACCCCTCACTTGTATATGATGGGATAATCCCAAACATAATGCCTTGCCTCTCTCTTAAGCTTCTTCCTTTGATTATTAGAAAAAGGAGGAAACTCCCCACAAGCAAGGAAATTCACCAAATCGGCAAACCATGGAGCTCCCTTGCTTAAATAGCATATAGGAAATCATCAAGCATATTATCCTCAATTGGAGAACCATCATCATGAATCTGAGAATCATCTAGACGAGAAAGATGGTCCGCCACAATATTCTCTGCTCCTCTTTTATCCCTAATCTCAATGTCGAAGGTTTTGAGCTTAAGAACCCACCGTATTGACCTTGACTTTGACTCTTTCTTGGTAAAAAGATATTTGAGAGCCTCATGATCCGTGAAGATTATGGTTTTGGAACTTAATAGATAACAATGGAACTTCTCAAAAGCATGAACTATAGCCAAGTATTCCTTCTCCATTGTAGTGTTATTCCGTTGAGCTCCATTAAGAGTCTTGGAAATATAATAGATCACATGAAGCTTCTTGTAATCTCTTTGACCCAAGACACCTCCTATTGCCGAATCACTAACATCACACATCAACTCTAATGGTAAATCCCATCTTGGAGCTTGAACAATAGGAGTAGACATTGGAGCCTTCTTCAACTTTTTGAATGCCTCCAAACATTTGTCATCAAATGCAAACTCAACATCTTTTTGAAGAAGATCATTGAAGGGCTTTGCAATGAGGGAAAAGTCTTTGATAAATCTTCTATAGAATCCGATATGGCCCAAAAATGACCTCACACCTTTCACATTGATCGGAGGTGGCAGTTTTTCAATAACTTCAATCTTTGCCTTGTCCACCTCTATGTCTTTGTGAGAAATTTTGAGCCCGAGTACTATTCCTTATTCAACCATGAAATGGCATTTTTCCCAATTCAACACCAAGTTAACTTTTTCACATCTTGCCAAACACTTTTCAATATTTTCAAGGCAAGCCTCAAAGGAAACCCCGCCTACGGAAAAGTTATCCATAAACACCTCCATCTCCTCTTCCAACATGTCTCCAAAAATACTCATCATACACCGTTGGAAAGTGGCGGGAGCATTGCAAAGGCCGAATGGAATTCTCCTATAAGAAAAGGTACCATAGGGACAAGTAAAAGTAGTTTTCTCTTGGTCGTTGGGATGAATAGGAATTTGGAAAAATCCCGAATAACCATTAAGAATAGAATAATACTTCTGCCTTGTTAGTCTTTCAAGCATTTAATCAATGAAAGGAAGGGGGAAATGATCTTTCTTTGTGGATGTGTTTAAACGTCTATAGTCTATACACATCCTCCATCCCGTGACCGTCCTTGTTGAAATGAGCTCACCTTTCTCATTCTCAACGACGGTCATACCTCCCTTCTTTGGGAGAACGTGAATGGGAGAAACCCACCTAGAATTAGAAATGGGAAATATAATTACCGCATCTAAAAGTTTGGTGATCTCCTTCTTCACTACCTCTCCCATTTGGGGATGTATCTTTCTTTGCCTCTCAATTGATGGAAGAGTACCCTCCTCAATAGTTATGTGATGTGTACAAAAAGCGGGGCTTATACCTTTGAGGTCATCAATGGAATATCCCAAAGCACCTTGATGCTTCCTCAAAACATCACATAACTTTTGAGCTTGGTTCTTACTCAAAGAAGAGCTAACAATCACGGAGAAAGTAGAGTTGGGTCCCAAGAATTCATACCTAAGGTGTGATGTAAGAGTTTTGAGCTCAACCATTGGTACACCTTTAGCTTCCTTTAAAGTGGCGGCTTGCAAAGCTTCTTGGCTTGAGATATTCATGCATATATGCTCATCCACTTCCTCAACGCTTCCATTTAGCAAATCTTCATACATTGCCACTTCCTTGATAGGAGAACCTATCTTATCCTTATTCAACAAGACATTCTCAAGAGGATCATTAGAAGTGAGCAAGTGATCATGCATGGAAGATACAACAAGATCAAGAGAATCAATCAACATGCAATTTTCTATAGAAGAACATGGATATTTCATGCTTTCATTCAAGTCAAATTCAATATCCTTATCTCCTACCTTGAGTGAAAATTTTGCACTCTTAACATCAATCATAGCACCCGACGTAAAAAGAAAAGGTCTACCAAGAATAATGGGAATGGTAGCATCTTCATCCATTTCAAGCACCACAAAATCTGCCGGAATTACAAACTTCCCTACTCTCAAAAGAACATCCTCAACCATTCCCTTGGGAATCTTAATTGACCTATCGGCAAATTGCAAGGTAATCTTAGAAGGCATAAGTTCCCCTAACTCAAGTCTTTGATAAACCAAATATGGCATTAAGCTAACACTAGCTCCTAAGTCACATAAGGTATTATCAATTTGCATCTTGTTAATGGCACAAGGGATAGAGAAGTTTCCGAGATCTTTCAACTTGGGTAGCATCTTGTTCATTATAATTGCACTACAAATCTCGGCCAAGTTGACCGTCTCCACCACATCACAAGACCTCCTACAACTCAAAATGTCTTTGAGGAATTTTTTATAGTTAGGCATTTGGGTAACAACTTTGGTAAAAGGTAGAGAAAAATGAAGTTGCTTAAGTATGTCAATAAATCTTCCAAATTGTTCATCCAACTTATGTCTCATGAATTTTTGTTGATATGGAAGCTTGGGTTTCAAAATTTCTCTCTCCACTCTCACTTCTCTAGGTGTCTCAATCACAACCTCACTTAAAGATGCACCATTTCTCTCATCCTCTACCAAGACCTCCTTAGGACCCTCCGTAGTTCTATTATTCTTAGGAAAACTCTCCTCAAGAACCTTACCAGTCCTTGTAACAATAGCATTCATGGGTCTCTTGGGATCTAAGCCTTGGGAAGGTAAAGAAGAAGGAATAACATTTTCTTTCAAAGCATTAGCAAGTTGATAAATTGGGTTTTCAAGCATCTTATTATGAGTCATCACTTCATTGAATTTCTTGTGACTTACCGCCATGTAGGTGCTCAACAACTTTGTTTGATTTTCAATTATTTCCTCCAAATTAGTTGTAGAAGAAAATAATTGTGAATAGGAATTATCAACTTGAGGCTTTGGAGCAAATCCTGGTGGAGGGCCTCTTTCAGCATTATTTTGAAAATTGCCTTTCCCTTGATTGTTCCAATTAGCCCTATTTTGATTTTGACAATAACCTTGATTATGGTTACCACCACCTTGATTATGATTTCCATAACCTTTGTTTTGATTACCATAATTTTGGTTTTGATTTTGGCCACTATAACCTTGATTGTTATAGTTACCACAACCCTCGGTTCCTATAACAACCACCTTGTTTATAATTTTAAAAATTACCATTGTTTTGGTAAATCCTATTCCATTGACCCCTTTGGTTATCAAGCCTTTGCACATTATTATTGTTTGACACAAAGTTCGCATGTTCACTCTCATTATTGTCAAAATCATCTTTACTCTCCTGAAAAGAATGAGGGCAACTACTAGAATCATGATCATATGAACCACACACATCACAAAACAAACAACCACTAGGCATGTTACTAGAAGAAGGAGGGGGGTAGAGAGTTAGAAGGAGTACCTCTCCCCTTAGATTGGGAAGGATGACTTGGAGCTTAGGAAGAAGAACTCTTCAATTTTTCCTTGGTTGCACTCACTTCCTTCCCCAAGTTTTCCATTTGTGAGGAGAGATTGTTGATTGCATTCAAATGATCAACTGAGTACACCGAAGAGCTACTCTTGCTAGTTGATTATCTCTGACCATCTTGCCAATCCCTATAATACTTCAAAACATCCTTAATGATGTCCACCACTTCTTCTTCCATCCTATTCATAATGGGACCTCCGGCTCCTCCATCTAGGCATGACTTGCCTTGGGGACTTAGGCCTCCATAGAAAATCTGAATAATTTGATAGGTTAGAATCCCGTGGTGTGGACACTCCCTTTGATACTCCTTATATCTCTCCCACGCTTCATAGAGGCTCTCACTTGGCTTTTGTTTGAAGCCTTGGATCAAAGCTCTTGCCTCCGCCGTTTTCTTTTGTGGGTAGAACCGAGTTAGAAATTCCTTTGTAACCTCATCCCATGTCGTTAAAGAATTTGGCTTAACCTCCTTGTCTAGCCATTCCAAAGCACGCCCAATGAGAGAAAAGGGAAAGAGCTTGAGGCGGATAAATTCTTAGGAAACTCCGTTCACCTTTATAGTATTGTAATATTTTTCAAATTCCTTGAGATGATTTAGCGGGCTCTCATGCTTGGCTCCACTAAATTGTCACCTTTCTATCAAAGTGATCATAGCTGGCCTAATTTCAAAATCATTTGTCGGTGTTGTAGGTGGAGCAATTCCACTCTCAAACCTATATGCACCGTGAATCCCCAATTATTTCAATGCCACTCTCGAATTCTCTCCCATTCTTGCTTATTCCTCTTGTTGTGGTTCTTCTTCACTTGAAATGCTAAAGCTAAAAGATCGCCTAGCATCCCTTAGTTTTGTAATAGCCCTCTCAATCTCTGGATCAAATGGCACAAGTGAATGACCACGTGCTCTATGCATACAACTCAAAGGAAATGATTAGTAGCACAGCTACAAGTGTAGCCTTAAAGAGGAAAATCTTTTTGTTTTGTTTTTTTAGAATGAAATAGACTCAACAACTATAACAAAGCACCAATGTCATTCCCCGGCAACGACGCCATTTTGACAAGGGTTGAAACTAGGTCGTCATTTAATTATCCCTAAGTCAAACTAAATTTGTAAACGCTTAACAAACCTTATACGAGTATAGGGCAAGCTAAGGGTCGAACCCAAAGGATTGAATCGAAACCATGTTATAGTCTAATGTTAAGCTAAATTGAACATTTGTCAATGGTTGAGTATGGTAAAAAGGATAACAAGAATCAAGAATTCAATCAAATTGCTAAACACTAGGGATATAGGTTCCACATGCAAGCTTAACAATCATACTAGTTGATAGATCACCGAATTGATTCAACGTTGCAATAGACAAACAATAATCGTGATCAAAGGAATTCAAAGGTACCTCCTATAAGTCAAACTAGGGTTCACTATGAATGATTAACAAGGAGAATCACAATCAAATTTAATCAATTAGAGAAAATCCCAAATCAATTGTTCGTGTCATTGGAATTTGCAATGCAATCTAGATTAATCTTATAGGTTGATCACTCCTAGTATAATTAATCACATGCATAATTATTTCAACCAATTTAATTGCAACAATCAATCTATCAAGGATCATTAACTAACAATAATCATCAATCAAGCATGCTTCCCCTTCACCCTAGAAATTAATCTACTCAATAATCATGGTGAATTCTAAAGCTAAAACAAATTCAATCTCAAACATATTCATCTCAAGCTAAATCAAAAGGAAATACAATCAATCAACAAATTCTTAAAACTAAATCAAAATCAAAACCAACATTCAAGCATAAAAAGTAAATTGCAATTAAAGTAAATTCAAAGGAAAGAAATCTTACTAACTTTTATTAATATGAAGAAGAATTACAAACTTAATTGAAGAAACAATATTGAGTTACAATTCAAATCCAAAGATTACAATCTCTACATTCTCTCTAACTTCTCTCTCTAACAACTAAGAAAATGAAATATTATCTAAAAAGTTGGCCTTCAAAAGGATTTACAAGAGTATATATAGGCAAAGAAGAAAAGCTGATCGGTTGCGCCCTCTCCTCGAAGACTTCGCGGGCTCGCAGAAATGGGTACGGAACCCATAACTACCTCCACGGGCAGTCTGGGCAAAACCCACGCCCGCGAGTAATGTAGCCCGCGCCCGCGGCATCGCCACCTGCGCCCGCGGTTCTGGGTGTGGCAAAATGCCTTGTTCTAAGAGAAGAAGAGGGTCGCGGTCTCTCTGATCCGGAGCGCCCTCTTCGAAATCTCCGCGCTCGCGGGTAAACCACGGCTAGGGCATAGAGAGTTCCTGCCAAAAATCACCAAAATGTGCACCAAAACCCGCGCCCACGGCCCAAAGATCCCGTGCCCACGGCTATGAGAAAATGTGGAGATCCCTCTCTGAGCCCTCTCCATGAGACTTGTAACTCCTTTTCTTGGCTCTTTTTGCTCCTCTTGAATCCTTTGCAAAGCTAAGTCTTTAGGCACCTACAAGAGAAACCAAAGAGAGCAAATAGAAGAGAAAACGAGCAATATAAAAGGAAAACACGAGGAAAAGCACATAAAGGAAAGTAAAACACGAAGGAAGAAGAAATAGAAAAACTAGAGGTGAAATGATCAAAATTGTAAAAGAAAAGCATGAAAAGCATAGTGAAAATATCCTAAAACACTACCCTATGGGTGCCATAAATGACACTCATTAGTAATCTATCATGTTTGGTGGGATGCTGATTCATATATGCTATGCACATTTGTATATGCATTTCCATGTTGTATATCTTGAAAAACTCCAAAAAGATTTTTTGTTTTTATTAAGGCAAATTTGCAATGTGTTTGGTATTGTTCTTGCTTTGGACATAATACTTTTGGACTTGTATAGTTGAATTCTTTTCTTATTAAATGGTAACGGCATGCACGATTTAAGAGTATGTTTGGTTGATTCTAGGATAGAGTATGCAAAGATAGTTGTTTAGAACTATTGGGACCTTGAAGTCGGATTCTATTTGTTTTTCAAAATTTGCAATTGCCCCCTTGTGGTGAATTTGAAGCATTTAGTGAGTTTTTTCCACAGCCATGTCAGGTTTCATTGTTTTCAAGCCTTCAACATATCTTGCATGAGCGGCTTGGATCCTTCACTATTGCGGACCTAATCTTGAATCTTTACTCATAATTCTCAAACACGAGACCAAACCATTTAGGGAGGACAAAGCCATCTTTTCGGGGTGGTAATTTTTCTTTTTCTAGGATAATCTTCTTTGTTTTTAGTTCATTGGGTTTACATTTGCCTTCTTGCTAACCATTTGAGCCTTTTCCCTTCTTTTCAAGCCACATCTTTAGAACTTTGAGCCTTTTGTTTCTTTTTGTTCCTTTTTTGGTTTTTGTGAAGCAAATGACCATGTTCTATGAGTTTGGATATTGGTTCCTTTTGTAAGCAAGCTTGTATTTTGTGTATATTTTGTGAATAATGGACAATGTATGATGGAAAAATCCGTCCAATGTTAAAAAAAATGCAAGAACATAATAAATGCAAAGTTTTAAGAGACGTCCATAGTTAAAAGAGGCGAGGACAATTGCTTTGAAAAAATGAAAACAACAAAAAAAAAGTTTAAATGAGAAAATTCAAAAATATTTTCATGTGATTTATTTTCCCTTTCTAAGCATTGAGGTCAATTCTTAATTTAAGCTTGGGGGAGAAGCGTTTACGCTTTTTGTATATATGTTTGTGAGTATAGATTTGAATAAGCTTGGGGGTGTTAGTTTGTTTTTTTTTTTTTTTTTGTGACCACTTCATTGTGATTATAAGAAAGGAGCCTTCTTTGCTTCACTATTAGGGATACCACCAAATTTTTAGATTTTAGCCTACCTTCACCCTTTTTCCCTTACGTTACAGATGTTGGGAAAGACCTTTTGAGTTGAGCCACATTTCGAGGGAGGGAATTATGAGTTAAAGCCTAAGGAAAGGGGATGAAAACTCAAGATGTCGAGAAACCTCAAATCTATTTTTTTCCAATTCCTTTTAGGAACTATAGAGACACTCACTAAAAGTAGATTTGAAGCTAATTGGGAGAATGTGATAAAATGTTTTGAGATGAAAGTGAATTGCGTTTCTTTAATTCTCTATGCTTATCATGTTCTATGTTTCAATCAACCTTAGATATCTTAGAGCGTGCACTCCCTTACTTGTTTAGAAAGATTTGCATTCATTTATGCTTAGCTTGTACATTTGCAAAAAGTCCTTTCATGAACATTTATTTGCTTTTCTTGTATTTTAGTTCCTTTTTCATGCTTTTCCTTGTTTGTATTATTCAGAGAGTTATAGGTTAATCTCTTAGT